TAACTTGTTACAAAGGTGATCATGATAACTTTAGGGTATCTTCAGAGTTATCACAAAAACTCCAGGACATTTGAAAAATTGGGCGTAGATTAATTGACAAATTTGCATTATAATTAGGTAATTACGTATGGCAAGGATGAAGACATGAAATAAACAGGTCAATACGTGCGAATAGGCAAATAAGCACATGATTTGGAAATTTTACTCAAAACTACTAGATTTTTAACAAGAGGCGATGAAAAATGGACTATATTCTACTTACAGACGTGGTGATATGGTTGTTGACAACAGTCAAGTAACTGTATGCCATGGCATCGAAAGTGATTGGCCTTTGCCACCAGTATAAGCCAAGTCATTGGCATTTGCCACTAGTATAAGCCAAGTGATAAGCCTTTTGATAACATTATAAGCCAAGTGATTAGCTTTTGCCACCAGTATAAGCCACGTGATAAGCATTTTGCCACCAGTATAAGCAAGGTGGTTAGTCTTCGCCACCAGTATAAGCCAAGTAATGAGTATTTTGCTATTAATCGACAGTACAGTCATGGACATATTGAAAAAAGTGAATCTGCGAAGCGGTCCGGTGGTTAAGGCCAAGGTCGCTAACATGCCCCAATCATTCTTTGCTATGGAGAACAAGAGACATTTATTTCATTTAACGATCGACCAGCATTTTTACGTGAACTTCCTGTATGGATGGAGTACTTGGAAATTAATCTTCTTTCATCAACAAAGTTGGAAATGCCCCCAAATGTCATAGTCTTGGTTTCTGGATAAAAAAACCCTTATGACTCAAATTTGATTGATTGTAATATTTGCACAAAAACAACCATATTTTGGTAATTTAATTGCCTGTGTTAATGAAATAAATGAAAAAAAATATTATAACGCAGACGGCAATGCATGCGATTGCAACGCAGTGCGGTGGGCCCGATACCATTTATGTATATTTTTAGGTTTTAACTTGATGTAACGCAACAACCCTTTTCTTACTTTGACATCTGAAACGTGTTTATTTGATGTTTTAAACAATATTATTATATATACGCTCGTACAAATAGATGTCCGAGTTCCGCTTCCATTTCCCTCCTTTGAAAATTCCTTTGGCGTTATAATCATAGAATAATCCACGTTCAACTTGTTACAAAGGTGATCATGATAACTTTAGGACATCTTCAGAGTTATCACAAGAACTCCAGGACATTTGAAAAAATTGGGCTTAGATTTGTTGACAAATTTGCATGAATATTTACCTTGCATTCCGGACAGGTGCAGTTCTCTACGTGCTTACCACGTTAACATATTTATATCTTTTCTTCAATATTCTACCTACAGACGTGGTGATATGGTTGTTGACAACAATCTAGTAACTGTATGCCACAACTGTTGACAATATGCCATGTCACGATGTGTAATTTGTTGTTGTATGTATGCAATTCAACAAGGATGGTAGTCATGTCCAAGTCTTTTAATCCTCACCTCTTCCTCATTTTCACACTGTTCTATAACAAAAAAGCTATTATATTCCCTGGCACGATTGTTTAGCCAGTTTAATTAATATTTCATAAGGGACGCAACTCGCACGATCATATTGTATTTTTCTTCTGTATGATTTACAAGGAGTTATCATTATGGTTCTGTCTAATTTAACTGATATTCATTTATTATTTAATGCACATTATTTAGGAAAGGGCAAACATGAGTTTAATTATTAACATTTGAATAATGGTTTTAGCATAATGCTAGGTGATTATCACCTGAAGAAATTAGCCCTGATTGTGAAATAAGCATTAAAGTTAAAAAAAAATGTAAATAAAGTATTATTTTTACTTAAATACAAAATGTTAAATCACTAAAATAGTAATAATTGTCAAAGCAACAGAAGAAAAATATGGTTCAGGTAATGAGCCATTGGCTCACTTTTTGGAAATTTATAATATTACACCAAAAACAAAAAGCTGATGAAAAAAATGAAAATGGAACCATTTTAGGGTATAATGGGCCTTTAAGAAACAAAGTATGTTTACCAGTCGTGCACCATTTGCAGGTACTTTCAGTATTCATTTAAATACCATGAATTTGTGTAATATACAAGCAAAACAATAAAGTAAAACAAGTCTCACAGAACTGGTGTTTGTTAATAAAAAAAATCCAATATCCGACCAAAATGTTGGTATGTGGTAATTGAGGCTTCCTTTAGTGCTAATTATAGTTCTTTAGATGTAAATTGTACCTTTCCAGAACATATCTCATGGTCGTGTATGTTCAGAGCGAATGGTGCTTTACCGGGGCATATCTCATGGTCGTGTATGTTCAGAGCAAATGGTGCTTTACCGGGGCATATCTCATGATCGTGTATGTTCAGAGCAAATTGTGCTTTACAAGAGCATATCTCATGATCGTGTATGTTCAGAGCAAATTGTGCTTTCCCAGGCATATCTCACGGTCGTGTATGTTCAGAGCAAATTGTGCTTTCCCGGGCATATCTCACGGTCGTGTATGTTCAAAACAAATTGTACTTTACCGGGGCATATCTCACGGTCCTGTATGTTCAAAACAAATTGTACTTTACCGGGGCATATCTCACGGTCTTGTATGTCCAAAACAAATTGTACTTTACCGGGGAATATCGCACGGTCTTGTATGTCCAAAACAAACTGTACTTTACCGGGGCATATCTCACGGTCTTGTATGTTCAAAACAAATTGTACTTTACCGGGGCATATCTTATGGTCGTGTATGTTCAGAGCAAATTGTACTTTACCAGAGCACATATCTCACGGTCGTGTATGTTCAGAGCAAATTGTGCTTTACCAGAGCACATATCACGGTCGTGTTTGTTCAAAGCGAATTGTGCTTTACCAACGCACATATCACAGTCGTGTGTATTCAAAGCGAATAGTGCTTTACCAGAGCATATCTCATGGTCGTGTATGTTCAGAGCAAATTGTGCTTTACCAGAGCACATATCACAGTCGTGTATGTTCAAAGCGAATAGTGCCGTACCAACGCACATATCTCACAGTCGTGTATGTTCAAAGCAAATCGTGCTTTACCAGAGCATATCTCATGGTCGTGTATGTTTAGAGCAAATTGTGCTTTACCAGAGCACATATCACAGTCGTGTATGTTCAGAAAGAATTGTGCTTTACCGGGGCATATCTCACGGTATTGTATGTTCAAAACAAATTGTACTTTACCGGGGCATATCTCAAGGTCGTATATGTTCAAAACAAATTGTGCTTTACCGGGGCATATCTCACGGTCTTGTATGTTCAAAACAAATTGTGCTTTACCAGAGCATATCTCACGGTATTGTATGTTCAAAACAAATTGTACTCTACCGGGCATATCTCACGGTCGTGTATGTTCAAAACAAATTGCACTTTACCGGGACATATCTCACGGTCTTGTATGTTCAAAACAAATTGTGCTTTACCAGGGCATATCTCACGGTCCTGTATGTTCAAAACAAATTGTACTTTACCGGGGCATATCTCACGGTCGTGTATGTAAAAAACAAATTGTACTTTACCGGGGAATATCTCACGGTCTTGTATGTCCAAAACAAATTGTACTTTACCGGGGCATATCTCACGTTCTTGTATGTTCAAAACAAATTGTACTTTACCGGGGCATATCTTATGGTCGTGTATGTTCAGAGCAAATTGTACTTTACCAGAGCACATATCACGGTCTTGTATGTTCAGAGCAAGCTGTGCTTTACCAACGCACATATCTCATGGTCGTGTATGTTCAGAGAAAATTGTGCTTTACCAGAGCACATATCACAGTCGTGTATGTTCAAAGCGAATAGTGCTTTACCAGAGCATATCTCATGATCTTGTATGTTCAGAGCAAATTGTGTTTACCAGAGCACATATCACAGTGTTGTGTATTCAAAGCGAAATGTGCTTTACCAGAGCATATCTCATGATCTTGTATGTTCAGAGCAAATTGTGCTTTACCAGAGCACATATCACAGTCGTGTATGTTCAAAGCGAATTGTGCTTTACCAGAGCATATCTCACGGTCGTGTATGTTCAGAGCAAATTGTGCTTTACCGGAGCATATCTCACAGTCGTGTATGTTCAAAGCGAATAGTGCTTTACCAGAGCATATCTCATGATCTTGTATGTTCAGAGCAAATTGTGCTTTACCAGAGCACATATCACAGTCGTGTATGTTTAAAGCGAATTGTGCTTTACCAGAGCATATCTCACAGTCGTGTATGTTCAAAGCGAATAGTGCTTTACCAGATCATATCTCATGGTCGTGTATGTTCAGAGCAAATTGTGCTTTACCAACGCACATCTCACGGTCGTGTATATTCAAAGCGAATAGTGCTTTACCAGGCCATATCTCATGGTCGTGTATGTTCAGAGCAAATTGTGCTTTACCGGGGCACATCTCATAGTCATGTGTGTTCAAAGAGAATACTTAACCACGGCACATCTCACAGGAGTGTGTTTACGCAAATTGCACCTTTCAAGAGCACAAAGCATAAGACGTGTTATTCAAAGATCATACCTCATTATTATGTCTGTTCAAAGCAAGCTGTTATAATTCACCATTCGTTTCTACTTTATTAAACAATATCGTAGACACTGTAGTTTTACCCTTCCATTTAAATAAAGCGCCTCATAACTTTAATCTTGTTACCGTTGCTGTTAAATATGTAGTCGAGGCAAATTATTTAAGTTCTAGAATATGTCCTCTTGTTAGCAACGATCTTGTCCACAGTGCTTTTGTACCAAATTTCACATGTTGGTTTCTTATTCGGAACCTTAAAAGTCAGTTGTTTGCAAATTAATTCGCGCAAAGGAACTATCATAATTGTATTCTGTGTTAATCTGACTTTACAAGTTTCGTTCAGATAGCCATTTCATGAATCATTTCTACAATAACAACAAGTGTGTACTGTTTCACTTGAATCTTTGACAAGGACCGTAGCGATAGCTGATACGATATTTTATGACCACTCAAGTCTTGTCGCGGGCATAAAATGAGGGTTGGAACAAATAAACAAGATTTAACAGGCAAACAGTCATACGTCAGAGCTGTGCTTGTGAATAAGTGATGCAACAATACAGTTTTATCTTCGATTGAACTTATTCGTGACATTGGTTATATATAAATCAAGCGGATCACTGTTCACAGCAGATATATTAATAGGCGGACTTGATTCTTTTTATCAGTTTTTAAAAAACTTTAATTGAATGGATTTTAAATAGATCGCTTAGAGCACGTGCAAGTGAATTTAAAGACATCACATTTATTATTAAAAGATATTGAAGAATTCGTTACACTGAAAGAATGTAAGTATACTTATGTAAATTTAATATTATGCACCTGTGAGTGATAAGGAGAATGTATCGTTATCAAAATTTTGAAGAAATTTGTGACATAGCAAGTATTGAAAACGAGAACTCAAATTCATGTATTATGTTGTTTTTTGTTGTCTTATAAAGGTTCATTATGCCGCAGAAATGCTTTTGTGTTTTCATTTCTCAAAACCTTTTTATTAGTTCATTTGGCCAATTAGCTGAACCATCTTTTGTTTCTGTTGTCTTTAAGTTTTAATGGACGTCAGAATAATACTAAGTTTACATTTTGCTACTTTTATGACTACGCGCTACTTTCTTCATGTAATAAACATCCTGAGTGTACTCTCTAAAACCTTTATGTTAACGTGATAGAATTCATGTTTCCCCTTTCTTAAGAAGTATAAATTTATTCATTTTCTGAGGCATAATGTGCCTTAAAATTTTGTTATGTTCCATTGCAAAACTATCATTATACAGTCATTTCTAACAGGAAGCATAAAATATTCAAAACGGATGTTTTACAATAGACTACCATGACATAATGTTCAGTACATAGTCTAGATTTTACTTGTTTGAACTCGGATATCGATTATGAAATAATGTTGTAACATATTTGAACAATTCTGTGGTTCGTTTCCTGGAATTAATCAGTCCTGGTATAATCTGATAAATCATCCTCGTGACCCCAGTAGAGATCGGACCCACGAGATCCCTAGGTTTAGAGGCAAACACCTTAACCTCCACAACACATCTTCTCTTATATTACATTACATGGTTGCATACCATTAGACTTAGGCAAGGTTCGGGCAATAACTATTGTTTGCCTGAAATCAATACACTGCGCATGTCCAGTTTAGGAGATGGCCAAAACTTTGGAACCAGACAAACTGTGAATATGGTGAGGGTTCGACAAATATAGGTCGTTGTAAGTGTCCGCTGAAGTAATTCAGTACATTAAAATGAAGCGCATGTCAGTCAACTGATTCAGATTTAAATACAATGTTTTAAGTTATCAAAACCGAATTATCTTTTTCTGTCATATTCCAATTAATCAAGATGGACTCTGTGCGGATCACCGACAGTTCTATTACTGAAAAAAAGTGAAACGTGATATTTTTCAATCATAGAAATCACTCTAATTAACAAAACCCATTAATCACGAAAATTTATACCATCGGTGAATTTATTGTCATCCAGTACCACGTTGCCGCTGTCAACCGCGTACAGAAATAAGCGAACAAAGCATATCGTAATCGACAGATAACGGAACGTTTGTTTGTTATAAAATATTTGTCAAAGAATGATTCTATTTGGAGCCAAAATATTTGAACAACTCCATTAAAATAACGAGTTGCGTACTGGGACAGCGTATTTAATATGAAACCGAGCTGATTGCATTTGTAAGAGGGATACAACAACTTGTTATTCGTTTTATTGTTAAACTTTATGATGCGATTAGATGACGTATTGATTTTGTTGACAAATAGATGCCACAAATACGATAATGTAAAGTTTTAATAAAACTGGAGTAATGGCCTGTGAATAAAATGAATTCGGTTTGTTCAAACCGTAAATAAAATGCAAGAATTAATATCAATTTTATTTTCACTTTTTGTATTATTTTAAAGTGGCTGTTTTCAATTAAGAAACTTTAGATACGGAAATCGTATAAAATACTTTTCGGCTGAGTCGGTTCATTTTAATAATGTTCCTGCATTTTTACATATTTATTAAAATGCAATCATGGTTTGAATGTATTTGAATGTTAGGTTATTTCCACTATTTTGATAAATGAATAACATTTATTGTCTAATAATATTATAGTTAAGTTCATTTCCTATCTGCCCATGAATTTTTGTAATACTCTTTAATCCTTATATATAAGAAAATAACAAATGTACACATTAATAACCTAGTAGGCAATTTTCATTAAACATTTTTTAAAAGTTTTTTGTTAATCAAATGCTTTACGTGCAAATTAATCTCAGAATGAAAGTTGTTAGATAAAAGTATTAATAATTGCAATGCGTGTTCTTTTTCCCTTTTTTTGCTATATTTTTTTATTATCTTCTTGTTCTATAGAACACAAACTACACTTGAATAATATTGACACCTTTTATTCCTTGAAAAACTATATTAAAAATGCTACATTGCTAAAGGTTTGAGTTGTCAAACTTTAAACTGCTAAATCTAAAGAAAAAATGATAATAAAATTGTGTACTTTATCACTATCCTTTTATAGATGAAAACACAAGGTTTTGCATATCATTTTTAATGATCTAAAATGTAAATCACTCTAATAGAGTAAAATTGATTTTTATGACGACCCCAGGTAGTCCGTCCGTCCGGATGTCATGTTCTTTAATTAAGATTCCACTTAGACCTTTCCATTCTGTATATTTACAGACAATGTAACTAACCAACATTTCTCCTGAAATAAAATAACAACCCAACTAATTCTAATATATTATTCATGAAGGATAGTTCAGCTTTTCAAAATTGATTTCATTGTCTGCGGTCTTGTGTAATTTAAACGAGCGGTCGTTTTTGCAATTTTAATGCTTTCCTTTTGTGGGCATCGTTTCAATACAAATTTGGCTTTTATCGCCTCGTCATTTTATATTAGAGTTAAACATCGAAAACCAAATAGCGACAATATAAATTTCCATTGTAATTGGTCTGTACAAAGGCTGGGATAGAGCAGGGTCTTAAATTGTTTAGTATTCCGTCAAATCAAAATATTGACAAATCAGGGACGATCAAATAGCCTGCTTCAAATCATGTCCACCGATGTAATACATCCAAATACATGATATGTCAACAACAAAGTAAATTAGGACTGACATATTTGTACTTTATATTAAACTTTCTAATGGGGATACTTGTATAAATAAGAAAATCATAAAATTCTGGTACATTCTTTAGACTGCAGTTTTAACGCGAAATTCCTTTACAATATAGCTAAATATACATGCACTTTTTTGATGTGGTTACTTAGTTGTTGTTTTTTCGCGAGAATGTTATTATTTATTTGTGTTCAATGATTATTAGATTAAATGGAAAAAAAATCTTGAAAACTTGGTTACGTTCATCTATGCATAAATATTGCCAAGCAACATATAAGTGATTAAATGCGTTAACTCGGCCATCTTTTTGTGTATTATTGAAGTGTAATCAGCGTACTGTTTGATGTCAAAGTCGGTGAAATACAATTTTGATTTATTTTGATTTCCTTTTCAGAGGAAACGATGGATATTGGATAAAATATGGTTTGTAGCATCGGTATAAAATGATGTTATACGGACACTAAAGAGTTGCGCAATATACATGCACGCCTATGGAAAATTAATTCGCTATAGTGATTTGAAAACATTGTGGACAAGTTTCGTGTTGTGTACGAATTCTTCAAAGAAATTCCGTAAAAGATGGCAAATACTTTTGAAAAGGTGCTTAACGTTATATCAAAGAAACCGGATCAAAGACAGGATTTTGAGATACAGGGTCTTCTTCCATGGTTGAGGAAAAAGTCTAAGATATTTTCAACTTTAAAGACAGGTATGTTTGGCAGTGTATCATATATAATATTCACATATACTTAATCTAGATTTACTACAATATATAAAGTTAAATACTACACACAATAGTTGTACTATTACTGAAAGTTTTGTTTGCTAAGGGTGTACGGCCAAATTTGATTTATTTTTAGTCAATGGAGATAGATCGGAAATCAAACATAGTAAAAGTAAAGTTACATTAAAAATAACGTTTTCATAAAATTGCAGGAAACTGTCAAATTATATTATTATTATGGAAATGTATGCTTGGTGGATCACATTCAAAACTGAATCTTATTGTAATGACTTGTGACTCTGTTTGTTGGACAACAACAAAAATATGAAATACAAATGTACAGTATAATGATGATGATAATAATGATGATGATAAACAGTAAAGTCATTTTAGAAAGAAAAACGTTTTCATGGCATCAAAAAGCTAGTACTACTGTCATAACCTAACATGGAAGTGCATGTCTTGGAAAAAAGAAAAAACAACGAAAAACACAACCCACATTTTTTTCTTTAAGAACATTTAAGGCTCAGTATAAGAACTGTAATCATTGCATTTTATACGGGTAAACAAATGTAAAGTGACATAATATAATAGCATGTAATACGGGTAAACAAATGTAAAGTGACATAATATAATAGCATGTAATACGGGTAAACAAATGTAAAGTGACATAATATAATAGCATGTAATACGGGTAAACAAATGTAAAGTGACATAATATAATAGCATGTAATACGGGTAAATAAATGTAAAGTGACATAATATAATAGCATGTAATACGGGTAAACAAATGTAAAGTGACATAATATAATAGCATGTAATACGGGTAAACAAATGTAAAGTGACATAATATAATAGCATGTAATACGGGTAAATAAATGTAAAGTGACATAATATAATAGCATGTAATACGGGTAAACAAATGTAAAGTGACATAATATAATAGCATGTAATACGGGTAAACAAATGTAAAGTGACATAATATAATAGCATGTAATACGGGTAAACAAATGTAAAGTGACATAATATAATAGCATGTAATATGGTTAAATAAATGTAAAGTGACATAATATAATAACATGTAACATGGGTAAATAAATGTAAGGTGACATAATGTATAGCATGTTATATGGGTAAATAAATGTTAGGTGACACAATGTAATAGCATGTTATTTGGGTATATTATTAGTTATAAAGATTGTTGACATGTTATATGGCCCTATATAAACGGCTGTTTGTAAATATAACCCGAGCCGCTAGGCGATGGTTATATTGCAAACAGCCGTTTATATACGGCCATATAACCTATCAACAATCTTTATAACGAATTTATAATACAGCAAACATCATTTTTTAGAGAAAAAAGTAAGATTTCTTCATGAATCGACAACAGCCGTGTATATAAAACTATACAAACGTCACGATTATGCAATGAAAAGCGACGTTACAAACGTGCAGTATTATAAATGTTAAGTGACACAACGTAATAGCATGTTATATGGGTAAATAAATGTAAGGTGACATAATGTAATAGCATGTTATATGGGTAAATAAATGTAAGGTGATATAATGTAAAAGCATGTAATATCGCTAAATAAATGTAAGGTGACATAATGTAATAGCATGTTATATGGGTAAATAAATGTAAGGTGATATAATATAAAAGCATGTAATATCGCTAAATAAATGTAAAGTGACATAATATAATAGCATGTAATATTGCTAAATAATGTCATAAGGTGACATAATATGATAGCATGTTATATGGGTAAATAAATGTAAGGTGACACAATGTAATAGCATGTTATATGGATAAATAAATGTAAGCTGACATAATATTATAGCATGTTATATGGGTAAATAATGTAAGGTGACATAATGTAATAGCATGTTAGTAGTACTCATGTTATATGGGTAATACTAGTAAACGTAATGTGAAATAATGTAATACTAGTAGCATGTAATATGGGTAAATAAATGTAAGGTGACATAATATATTAGCATGTAATACTGGTAAATAAATGAAAGGTGACATAATGTAAAAGCAAGTAAGTAGTACTCATGTAATATGAGTATTAACACATATATTAATTCACAAAGTTATTATCTACTACCAAAAATGGAATAAAATAAAACTTATTTGTCATTAAGAATACGTGTTTCATTTGAAATGTCTTTTAATATGTTACACACAAACAAAAAACTACAACAAAACGTAAGATGGCAGCCCGGAAGCCGTAAAATAGACACTTATAACCTACTATCAGTTGTTAAAGTTCACTTGTTCCGTTCCCCCCTCCCCCTCACCCCTTTCCCTTTACCGTCTGGTTAGTTTTCCTTTTTTAGTAACATTTAACTATTGTTTAGCCATATGTATAAGATCGAAAACAAAACGTCCATTTCATTAAATCAGCAAGACTAAGGTCAACGAATGGTAAAATAACTTTGTTTCATTATTATATCTATTCGACGATCAAAATATACATTCCAAAGTTTAAAGAGATGAAAAGTATTGAAAGAATTGTAAAATTACAATTTAATAGCATGTTATTAAAGTTTAAATGTCAATTTTCAAACATGTTTAATAGAGAAAAATCGGATGTATTTACTTTGAGCTTTCGTGTATAATGCACAGAATCTGTGTGGATTATTTGTTAAAGATATACCAGTTAATTTATGACTTTTACATAGATCAGACGTAACATTGCGTTTGTTTTATGATTACAGAAAAATGTTTGTGAAAACAAAACTTTGGGTTCCTTAACCGAAAAAGTCATCGAACCTATTTGTAGAGATCAGCGTCAAATTATTGTGTTGTAAACATATACATGTAGCAATATTTGGTGACGTGTTTGTAAGTTTTATCTGACAACTGTACAAAGTACTGTCAAATAACTTCTGCTGCAGGGTTAAAATAATCATAAAATTATCATAGAATTATCATAAAATGATCTTAAATTTATCATAGAATTATCATAAAATTATCATAGCATTATCATAGAATTATCAATCATAATACTTTACAGAAGCACAAAGCCGTACGATCTTAGAAAACAAGAAAAACTGCCTCATTATTCTGGTCAGTTTTAATTGTCTATCTTAAACGAAAAAAAGGTCATTTAAGTGACAGGGGCAGGGTCTTTCAAATAGTTTAAAAGATCTTGAGGAAGGGTAATTTCATTTTTCATGTCTTTATCCCCAGCCCGACGACCATATCCTCATTTAATAATATCCCAGGATATTCTCTTACAAAAACCCAACACATGGAGAGAAAAAGTAAAAGAAAATACATATTTGTAATAAATATTCTGGCGGTTTGAGTTAGTTGTCGGGTTTCCAAATTTTTCAAATGATGATAAGTTAATATTTAATGTAAATAAGGTGATACGTGCACCTACATTCCAATTAGGTAAAACTAACATTTGATTTTATACCCACTCACATAAAACGCACAAAGACAAAGCCTTTCTTTTAACTTTTTTTTAAAAAAGAAAGGATAAGCTTAAAACAAAATTCATGTTATACTTAAGGACACATTGATTTTCTTCTCGCAATGAATAAACAAGAATGGGAAGTGAAAAATGGAGAACCAGCAAAAATTTATCATATTGTCAACAGCTAATAAACTACTTTTATTTCTGTTTATTTACATAATAAATTAACTTTATCAAATAAGAGGCTTTTGAGGGTATTAGAATACAGGACTGGATGTACTTCATGTAATTGGTTTGAGGGCCCTCAATGGACGGTCATAAATAATGGAAGTTCTTTTTATTCTTAAAATGTCTGCGCTACCACGTTCAAGTTCACATCAAATACTTTTCTCATAAAACATGTAAAAAAAATAGGCCGGAGCATAAAACGGACGTGACAAGGGATATAAACATGGTCGCAACATAAATGACGTGCTAGGGGAGATAAACATGATAATTTTATAATGTATATTCCTTCCTTCCTTCCTTTCCATTCTGTTTGTTCGATTATTTGTTTTTTCTTCTTCTATCATTTTGTGTCTTTGTTTCTTGCTTATCGTCAAGTTGTGTTGAATAAAGTTTTCTTAAAAAGAAAAGTTACGATTTTAAAAACAACAACGTTAAAATGTAACATTTCGTTCTCCTATACCAACAAACAGTTCAATTTGCAGAATATTGATCATTATAAATTGGTTCATGCAGTTGTCCCTATCAACACAACAGCACACTGGACACAATTCATAAAACTCTGACATAAATCTTTCATTTGATTAATTCTTTAAGTGAAGATAATTCTGTTAAATTAAGTTATAGTGTAACACAAACAAATAAAATGCTTGCGTTTAAGTGTTATATTTGTAATGAATTGAAGACACGTCATCAGCACGAAAATAATAAAGGACTGGAGTAGAATAATATTTAACGGACTTTTTTTCTCATAGAAATTCATCATTGACCACCATTGACTGCTTTTGCGAATTACATTTTGAATTCATTTGCCCGCTTCGCAAAATCAGCGGTCATAACTATTCTTTTTTCCCTAATCCCCCACCTCTTTCCCCAACTTCAAACTATTCTTGGTTTAAATCTCTGAAAATTGCTATTTCAAAATTAGCGACCCCAACTACTTCTTAAGTTTAAAGAACTTTTTAAAGTTAGTTTATAGAACTTTTGAAGTTTCAAATTCATTTCGTTAATTTTAATTCATTTAACACTGTGAGTTGGAGGGTGCAAGGGTATGTTTAATGCATGTCTATCTTTCCCTTACATTTTTAATACGTTTTTTTTTCTATCAAATTAAAGTGAAGTATTTTCTTTAATATCATATTGCTTTTATCTATTTGATAAAAGCTTGTTAAATGTGGGTGTTTTTATTTAATTTAAGACAAAATTATAGAAACTTATATCTATCGGTACAAAACACTCTAAATTGGTGGTTTAAAAATCAAATTAATTTGTAAGTACGCTGTAAAACATCCGACCATGTTAAGCAAATATTTATTTTACAAAAAA